CCTTGCTTCTGAGTGAGAAAACATTACGGATTCGAGGATACACTCCAGAGACTTGAGCACAGAATTTAGACTAACAAAATACTGAGGGACAACCATGCCATGGCAGGATCTGCCTTTTAGATGACATTTTAAACTAATGTCCCATCTGAAACAACTTCATGAAGGCCGGTATCCCATCATCAAGTCACCCTTTATTTTGACGTGCGTAGTACATGGCACTGACCCACCTGGCACAGAGCCGGCTCCGAGAGTGAGCAGAACCCCTGACACATCTGTCAGCCAGGGCTCCCTGATTAGACCAGGTTAACAGCCTTAATCGTGGAACAAATATTCTATGATATCCACTTGGCTGACCTTGTTCCAATCACTACACCATCGACCCTGTCAGGTGAATGTATAAGATTCCATGATATTGCTTTGAAGAGCAGCCATCACTTACCCATTGAAACAACATGTGGGAAAAAAAAAACTCTACTAGAAAGGCAGGCAGGAACTTAATTGGGAAGACGGCATAAATACAGTTTCCTGATGGCAGGTTAAAGTTTTGCTATCAAATTCTAAAAGGCTGGCTCCCTTTCCCAACCTCCATCAAACAAAACCTGATTTGCATTCATCAGTATGTCATAAATGCCAACTTTCAGGGAGCACAAACTTCTTCAGTTACTTGGTGCCTTCAAAACCTTGGTATTTCTTTGTTTGAATGTTTACAGTGTTAGGGGTGAAGTCTCTCCATGTTGATTATCTCATGAAAAGTCACATGTAACCTGGCTTGTTGTTGTTAAAGCCTGACTGGGCCAACAAGACTGCCCACTGGAGGCAGTCTGCCTGATACCAGCAAACCTGACCAGGACAGGAAAGTGGGGCAGAATTCAAAAGGTCATCTTTTGTCGTTCTTTTCTTGTCCAATGCAAATCTTTGGTAAAAAGCTAATGATTTGTACAGTCTCCTAATTGTGATGAATCATCAGTGACATGTTGGTGTGTGAGCTACTGAGTGTTTGTGGCTCCTTTTACGCTGTAAGTGTGAACCCTGGCAGATGTGTGAGAGGCAGTACCACTGCAATACCGGTGGTGCTACATTAGTAGCCTGCAATAAGGTGACAGACATTGATTGCAAATGATGTAACCAACTTTCTGTGTGACCTCTGCAGTGGCAAATTTACAGTGCTAACTCACTCATTGGATAGTGAAGCAAGACAGTGGTGTGTACCCTGGCAGAGTACAACATATCATTCATTCTCTTGTGGCAATGAAGCCAGTTCTCTTCAACTGCCCACAGGTCATGACCCTTGCAGCGACTGCGGATGCTGTCAGGATGGCCTCTTGTTGCCATCCACAGTGAAAGGAACTTCTCTTAACTCCTGCTAGAGCTCAGGAGAACCTCTGAGGAAGTATGCATGACACTGGCGTTTGTCTGGTCTCTTACATCTCCAGGGATGCGTGGGGGTAATGAGCAGAGGTTGAGAGATGTTCCTAGACTGCAAAGTGAAGTGCTGGCCAGGTGCATTTTAAACATAGTGCCAGGGAGTTTTTTTTAAATCTGCCTCCACACTATATCTCAAGAAATGAAAATTCCACACAGTCACTAAGAAAAGATTAAATGCATATAGTGTAGGGAGTAACATGTTGGCATGTATAGAAGATTGACTCTGCAACAAGAAACAGAGAGTCATGGCATATGAGTCATGGCAAAATGTAACAAGTGATGTGCCACAGTTCTTACACCTCAACTTTTACAGTTTATATAAATGAGTTGAACCAAAGGTATGGTTGCTAAATTTGCTGATAATGAAACAACAAATAGAATAGTAAGTTGCAAAGAAGACATAAAGAGGCTACAAAGGGATAAAACAGGTCAAGTGAGAGGGCAGAGATCTGACAAATGCAGTACAATATGGGAAAATGTGAAATTGTCCCTTATGGTAGGAAGAATAGAAAGGAAGCATACTATTCAAATAATGAGACATTGCAGATGCCAGGATGCAGAGGGATCTGGGTGTTCTCATGCATGAATTACAAGAGATTTGTATGAAGGCACAGCAAGTAATTCAGACAAATAAGAAAACATTATTGTTTATTGAGAGAGAAATTGAATAGAAAAATTAAGGGATTATGCTTCAGTTGTACAGAGCATTGATGAGACCACATCTGAAGCACTGTGTACAGTGTTGGTATCCTTATTTAAGGAAGGATATAAATGTGTTAAAAGAAGTTCAGAGAAGGTTAACTAGATTAATACCTGGAATGGCCACATTGAATTATGTGGAAAGGTTGGACAGGCTAGGCTTCCATCTGCTGGAGTTTGAAGGGTAAAATATGATGTGATTGTCAAAATCAACCTGGATGTTATATCTTTCAATGTGGATGTTGAAAAAGTGTTTCCAATTGTGGTAGAATCTAGAATTAGTGGTCATGATTTAAAAATCAGCAGTTACCATTTTAGGACAAAGATGAGGAGAACTTTTGTTTCTCACAAGAGGGTTCTGATTCCTAGGATCTCTCTTCCTCAAAAGCAGTGGAGGCAGAGTCTTTGAGCACTCTTAAAGCAGAGGTATATAGATTCTTGATAAACAAGGGCTTGAAAGATTGTTGGAAGTAGGTGTGAAAGTAGAGTAAACAAATCAGTCATTATCTTATTGAATGGTAGAGCATAATATGCATTCTTTAATGCAGTTCTTCAAAACAAAGACAAACATTTTAGTCAGAACAATATGTGGACAAGAAGTATAAACTGAATTACATAACTTTAAAGGAGTTGCAGAAACAAACAAAAACCTGGATTTATCTTTGAAGGTGATAAGATGAGTTGACTGGGTTCTGATGAAAGCATTTTGGTTCCATGGCTTTATTAATAGTGGCCAAGATTAGTGAGGAACGTATACCGAATGCAAGAGACTGCTTCAGCACCAGCTGGAGCACTGTTCCAATTCTGGCAAATGTATCAAGGCCTTAGGCAGATCACAGGTGGGATTTATTGGAATTGTTCCAGGGATGAGGGACTTTAACAATTTGGAGAGACCAAAGAAGCTGAGGTTGCTGTTATTCAGAAAGCTAATAGAAGATTTCACAGAGGTATTTAGAATGATAATGGGCTAGATAGATTGAACAAGGAGAAATAATTTCTAGTGGCAGAGGGGGTAAGTACTCACAGATGACACTGATTTCAGGTTGGCAAAAGGACTAGGGAGAAACCAATCACTGTTCAGTTTAGGTTCCACCAGGGAACCCAGTTCCTGCCCTTGTTCCGGCCTTGGTTAATCATGGACAAAAGAATTTAGTATCAGATGTGAGGTGACAGTGACTGCATTTGACATCAATTCCACACTTAACTGACTGTGGCATCATGGAGTACTAGCAAAACTATGGGATTGGAAGGAAAACTGTCTACTGTTTGGATTCATACCTGCATGAAGGTGTTTGTTGGAGCCATCACCTCTGCAGGAGTTCCCAAGGATAGTGCTCTTGGCCCAACTATCTTCAATTGCTTCATCAATAACCTTCCCTCCATCATAAGGTCAGAGGTGGAATGTTTGCTGATGATTACACAATGTTCAGCAGCACCTTTGATAAATCTTTGGATACTGAAACAGTCCATGTCCAAATGCAGCAATACCTCATCAATATTCAGGCTTGACTGACAATTGCGAGTAACAGTTGCACCACACAATTACTAGACAATGAGCGAATCCAACAAGAGAGAATCTAACCAAATGCAGAAAATGCTGGAAACTTCAGTTCTGAAAAGGAGTCATACTAGACTTGAAAGGTTAACTGTTTCTCTTTTCACAGATGCTGCCAAACCTACTGAGTTTATCCAGCACTTTATCTGTTTCAGATTTCCAGCTTCCACAGCATTTTTTTAACCATCTCCCCTTAATATTGAATGACATTGCCATTGAGGAATCTGACACTATCAACATTCTGAGGTTATCATTAACCAGAATCTGAACTGGATTAGTTATATAAATGCTGAGGCTATAAGAGCAGATCAAGGCTAGGAATCACCTTCTGACTCTCCAAAGCCTGTCCACATCCACAACTGACAATTCAGAAGTGTTCTAGAATACTTTCTACTTTCCTGGATGGGTGTAGCTCCATTGAGACTTGTGAACATTGATACCCAGGGATAAAGCAGCCCATTTATTGGCACCACACTCAAACATTCACTCCCTCAACCGCTGCTGCTCAGTAGCGGCAGTGTATACTATCTTCAAAATGTACTGTAGAAACTCACTAAGGTCCCTTACAAAGCAAGTTCCAATACCACGTAGTAGGTCGAGTGCAGCAGATACACGGGACCACCACCACCTGTGTTCCCCTCCAAGTCACTTAATATCCTGACTTGGAAATATATTGGTCATTCCTTCACTGTTGCTGCACCAAAATCATAGAGATCCCTCTCTAACATCATTGCAACAATTTGACAGCAGCAGTTCATGAAGATAGCTAAACATCACCATCTCAAGGGCAATTGGGGATAGGCAATAAATGTCAGCAATGTCCACATCCCTGGAATGAAACTTAAAAAAGCAGGCTTTTGCACCACGAGTTTGTTATGATCTTGGACGGACTGCCTGTACAGATGGTAATAACATGTCTTACAAAGAACCAGGTTCAACACTTGACAGAAAAACAACGCACCCTAGGGAGAGTAAAACGACGGGGGGATTCGAACCGAGTAAATAGTTCTACCAAAGAGCGGCATTGGCGCAAAGACTCCAATCCCATCTTCACGTAGCCTACAGAGGGCGCCCCTGAGTGCATGCCCCGCCCTCCTCGAGCAAACTCGAACGTTGGCCGCGACAAAACAGCCGCAGTGCGACTGCGTACTAGGCACCTCCCCGGTTTCCTCCCTCACCCTACCCAGTCACCGCCGATTGGATTTCTTTGGGCCACGGGGCGGGCGGGACGGGGAAGCGGCGGTGTAATTGGTGAGGACGGATGTCAATCGGATGACGCGACGGCGCCGTGGGCGGCGGTTGGAGTGGAGCTCGAGCGGGCGGCATTGGCCACGCCCCCTTGAGGCCCTGGCCAGGGCGAGGCTCCCGGAGACGGGGTGGAAGAAGCGGGAGCTGACGCTTGGGGCGGACGAACGTGCATCGGGCAGGGGCAGCAGCTGAGGAGGAGCGGTAAGTGTCTGTTCCCCCTCCCCGGCAAAAACCACCCTACTTCTTCCGGAATCTGATGAAAATTAAACTCAAAAGTTGCCGCTGAGAACCGAGTGGAGATGGGTTAGCTTTCCCCTCACAAACACCGCCACCCACCCTTTCTCCTCCTGGGGGTGGGGTGGTGGTGTTGGATGAGCCGTTGCTTGTCCCCCACCCCCGCCCCTTCCCCGATCTCGGAGATCGGGCTCTGCCGGTTGGGGTAAAGATCCTCCTCCGTTGGTGTCGCCCGCTGTCAGTGAGTGGGGCGGCTCCAGCCCCGACGGTCCTCTGCAGCCTTCACGGTGTGAGGCTCAACACCCCCACCCCCTTCCCCTTCCCCTTCCCCAGCGGCTGTCACCCTCGGCGGTGAGTCTGACTGGTGCCCCTTTCATCTCAATGGTCAAACCCTCTGATCGCCGACACCGAGCTTAGTTCGCACAGGCGAGGCCGTGGGCGTGAATTGCGGCATTTAAAACAAGTCACTGATGACCTTTGTGATGGTGGGTGCTGTTTCCCAATCCAGTCGTGTTGGCGGCGGCAGCAGCAACAACAACAACAACACAAACAAAACCGTGGTTTCCCGTTAATTAATACCGCCAGGGTCCCGATTTGAGTTGCCGTTGTGACAAGCAGAAAACGTGAAAAACAATTTACTAAAGGTGTCTTTTGGAGATTGTGGATCGACTGACGTGATTTGAATAAAATCCCGCAGTGACACGATCGTTTTCTTCGTATATTGATTGATCGTTTTCTGTTCACAGCTGGGTTCAGAACAGAATAAAATGATTAGTTAATGCATTTGTGGAAGATCATAATGTGCAAGGCTGCAAATTAGTCCTGTAGAATGTCACTTCGAATATTTTAAAACGATAAATTGGAGTTTTAAGATAATATCCTTCCGGAGCTTTGAATTTATATAGTTCTTGAATGTCTATGTACATCGAGTTTCATATTTTAAAGTTGCTTTAACAGCAGGCATTTTTTCCTGTCTCGTTTGTGCTGTATAGTGACTGCTTCATTGCAAAATTAAGGTAGTGAACTACAATTTATATTTCTACACACTTTTTTACAAAGTGAAAAAAATTAGGAAATTTAAATTTGGAGAACTAAGAGCATAAACAAGGAGGGTTTTGGGAATCTTTAGGAAACAAGATGGGAGGTGATGAAGCAGAGCTATTCAATAGAATTGTTCTCGAGCAGAGGTTGAATGAGAACTGATGAAGGGATGTACACAGAAATAAAATAATCTTGCTCTTTATAAGAAGGGCAAATATTACTTGTTAGGAAAAATGTAGATGATTGCTAGTATCTTGTGATGTGGCAAGGAGAAACTATAAAGAAAAAAGAATAAAGATGGTGACGTCTGCCTGATTTCACCAGATTTCACACGATCTTTTTGCAGAAACATTCCCAAGTCACCTATTTAACTGTGCCCAACTCTGATTTCCATTGCTTCACCTGAATATACCATGTGACAGTTCTGCATGTTGCATCTACTTCTCAAGCCAAACTGTTGGCAAGAATTTGGGGATAATTTTGCAAAGGCATGAGCAAGGACGTGACTCCTTTGTTCCGAGAGCTTTCATTTTGTAAAAGCTAATGAGGAGAGCTTTGGAGATACTAAACCTTGAGGTGTGAAAGAAAAGCTGTGTATAAGAGAAAAATAGTGGGGGGGACATTATAGATTATATGGACAAGAAATCTCAATTTTGGATTGACGTGAATGCTTTATCTCCATACCTAAAGTTTCAGTGGAGTGCCTGAGTCAGTGAGCAAGTTTGAACAGGCTGACACTAGTTTTATCAATTTTAAAGGGCATTTGTTGGGATATATTATATTTCATTCAGAATCCAAGTCGCTATGACAGCATGCGCTTGTCACATCGATGCTGTAGACTGGAGCTACAAATGGTGATGGTAATGGCTCCAACTTACTTTCCATCATGTGGCTGACCAGGAATTTGTTATGGCCTGCTATGTGTGTTGGAAAGATTTACAGGTTGGTAATTAACTTGTTTGGTCGGTTTACAAGCACGCGTCACTTGGCAGTTGTCTTGGAGGAGGATTTGAACCAGGAATGGTTTTCTTTTGCATGGAACCTGATTCTGTGCTTTTAAATACTGTTGGTGATGGGTTGCTTATAATCTAGTGCAAGGAAAGGATTGAGCATGGAGCTTTGAGAATGTAGTGAAGGTGACAATGGATGCCTGTAGAAGACCAATTGGAAATGTATGGTTCAACTTGAATATTCGTAAGGATGTCAGTACTGTATATCCTGAAATGGGTGTCCCCATTCCAGATACTGATAGCCACAAATTTAAATGCTTTCACAGAATTCCTACAGTGCAGAAGCAGGCCAATTGGCCCATCGAATCCACATCAACCCTTCGAAGAGCATCCCACCCAGACCCACCATCCTACCATGTCCCTGTAACCCTGCATTTTCGCACAGCTAATTTACCTAGCTTGCACAGCCCTGGACACTGGACAGTTTTAGCATGGCCAGTCCACCTAACCTGCACATCTTTAAACTGTGGGAGGAAACCCATGCTGATATGGGGAGAACGTGCAAACTCCACACAGACATTCAGGTCCCCGGTCCTGTGAAAAAGCAGTGCTAACCTTTTGCTCAAGCTATTCATCTACTAGTCACATTTGCCAGGATTTTTCTTGACATTTGCATGGTATGGCAAACTTATGACTGGTAAAATTTTCATCTTGTCAACTAGATATCTAACTAGCAAAACATGCCCCTATAATATAATAAAAGTTTGTTTTAACTCTAACCCTAACTCCAACCCTATCGCAGGTGTGTTGCATTTTCAGTGTGTGAAGTTTGATGTGATGATTTATAGTGTCATAACATGACTCTGAACACTTCTAGTATGAGGTACTAATTTAGTTTGAAGTATGATTAGTTGCTTGTTCAAAGTTTTTAATACTGATTTGCTGAATATTATTAGCCTATACTAAAGTAGTTGAAAGACTGAAAGACTGTAATACTGAAGACTTATTTTTGTTCAACTGCAAGATCTTAGGTTAGACCTCTTCAAATTAGATTAATTCCTTTGGGTATGCAAAACCTGTAACTAACATCCCTAAATAAATAAACTTAGAATGATGAAACTGTTTTAATTGCTCAAAGTTCAGCTCTCCATTGCATTTTAAATTCCAGAAAATATTGAACAAATGATCATACTATTCATCTTAATTAACTTTGGCCCAACAAGGTGCATTAACTAGGAAGTCCTCTCTCTCTCTCTCTCTCTCTCTCTCTCTCACTCAAACCCAGTAAACCCCTCCATGCAATGTCTGCATGCTGCATTTGTGTTAATTATCTTGGTTAACTCCCTGTTATTGTTTTATGATAGCTTCCAACCAGCAGAAAAAAAAATTCCTCCAGTGAGTCTGGGTTGGGCTTGGATACAGAAGTGAAAGGACAATGTCGGAATTCAGGCCCTTTTTAATATATTTTCATTCTGTTAGTTGCAGAAATGTAACAAGCACATTTGATAGACATTTCCTTCCTGTTACTAAGTGCGTATGACCGGTAATGGTATTTTCGAGGCTATTGAATTTACTAGCTGCATGGTAATCTTACTATTATGTTATTCTGTGGCATCTGCTTCATGATGGTTAGGTTGAATGTGCTTCTTTACAAGTCTGATGTATAAATCTGTCTTTATTATGTTTAACTCTCCATTAACATTGATCTATGTTATTGTTTATTGCATGTGGAGGAACACTTGTAACTTTTTTCTAAAACTTGATGCTGGTTGTCCAAAAATTTTGTTTCAAGTGTATGCTGCACATACAATAAGTTTTAAATACTATGTGTTTGCACTTGCAAGTTTTTTTAAACAAATTTGTGGAAAATAATTTTTCAAGATGACCCTTAAGAGATACTTTTGATTTTTGTTTGATTGGCATGAATTTGCATTTTCATTATGGAAAGAATTGATTGCTTATTTCCTCTTATTTTTGAATGTGTCTTAGTTGCAGTTCAAGAAATCAGGCTAAGACCCCCCTTCCCCTCCCCCTTTTCTGATGAAGGGTCTAGGCCCGAAACGTCAGCCTCTCTGCTCCTATGATGCTGCTTGGCCTGCTGTGTTCATCCAGCCCTGCACCTTGTTGTCTAAGAAATGTGAGCTGTTTTATCCAATATTCAAATTATTCACAATCTTTGGTGTAATAGGAATGAATAGATAAAAATGTAAATTGTTGAGTACGTGACTCTTGCATGACTCATTTTATCCTTTATTGGTCTCTTAAATCAGCATCAACATGATAGGTGCATACAGTATTCCTGATAAAATTTTAAGTAGTAGTCAGTAATTAACCACAATACTTTTGCCCCTCGTGTTTAATAAATCCTTGTTTTAAGAAGGTTTATTTGAACTTAACAAAGTGAACCAAAAGTAACTTGCTCCCAGTTGTTTTTTTGATATATCATTTCTTCCAAATAGATTTAATTTTTCAGCTTTACATTGGCGGTAAGCTAGATCGTCCCATTCCAAAAACGGACTCCTACTATGCATTTTTGAACTAACCTCTGGTCCAGGATCTACAATTCGTGTATAAAATCCTCAGTTGCTCTGCTGTATTATTTTTGTCCATTATTCCATTGCTGCTGACAGTGATTTTATGTGAGTGTCCTTAAATTGACTATGTTTAAAAATCACTTTGCAAATTAACATATCATTTGGTAGTGAAAAACTTGAGAATTGCTGAATAAAGGCACATTTTGTTGAAGCTTTCCTTCTTGAACTCATTAGTGGACTTTTAGTGGATAATTTTGTTTGATATTACATTGTATCTTGAACTAGGTCAAGTTCCAATGCTGTGTAAATGGAAGTTGTTTACCGTATGGGCTGATTACAGTATAGTAACTGCACCTTGTTATTCAGGTGCTTGGAAATATCACAGTTTAATGCACAGCCTCAACCACAGAATACGTAGTAAAGTAAATACTCTGACAGAAAT